GGTGGGGCGGCCGCAGCTTCTCGGGGCAACCTGCGCCAGGGGATCACCACCTGCACAGGAAAGAATTTCTCCTTAATATTTAATCTAAATCTCCCTTCTTCCAGTTCGAAGCCATTCCCACTCACCCTATCACTCCATGCCCTTGTGAAAAGTCCCTCCCCAGCTCTCCTGGAGCCCCTTTAGGCACTGGAAGGGGCTCTGAGGTCTCCCCTTCTTCGCCTTCTCCTCTCCAGGCTGAACCCCCCCAACTCTCCCAGCCTGTCCTCCCAGCAGAGGGGCTCCAGCCCTCCCAGCATCTCCGGGGCCTCCTCTGGGGGCTCCAGAGCTGGAGGCAGCACTGCAGGTGGGGTCTCACCAGAGCAGAGGGGCAGAAGCAGCCAAGCCCACTGCTGCCTACACCCTTGCTCCAGGTGCTCCCAGTTGGCTCAGCCTAAACCCACCACCCTTCTATGGAGCTGAGGAAGATCAGAGGGAATCTGAGTGTGTAGAGCTGCTTTCGTCCTGGCTTTGCGGAAGAAACCAAAGGAAATGCCTGTCTTAAACTGAAACCTTCCCTGAGCGAGGGAGCCTGTTATGCAAAAAAAAAAATCAACACTTTTTAACAAAAGAAACACCCAAGAGTTGTTTTACAGCTGTATTTTGGAGCACAGTTAAATCCTCTTTGAAATAATCTCTGGTGTTAGGGAACAGGGCCATGCATTATTTAACTTCTGTTACCGTAACATAAACTGTACGGGAGGACGGGAGGACAGACAGGACCAATTTCACGACACCGAAGGCAGCTGGGTGGGAACCACCGGTCCCAGCGTGTACCAGCGCTGTCCCGCAAGCCCTGGCTGGGAGGTGTGGGTCAAACACATCTGATGGAGGAAAACCCCTGTGTGATGGCAGGTTGGGGTCCCCAGAGGACCAGCATGGGATGTGACCCTCGCTGCTGCTGCAGCAGTACACAGGAACCTGCTCAAGGACCCAAAACCTCTTCCCAGGGAGTGCAGCAACATCTCTGTGCAAAAGACTGCTTCGTGGGGGAACCAAAATGGGGGAAAATCTGCCTGGCTGCTGTGCCAGCACAGACTGGTGCAAAAAAAACCCTCTTGTCTGGGGAGCTGTGGATAAATCCTGCCCTGCTGCCACCGGTGAAGTCTGCTACGCAAGGGCCAGCCGTGCTCCTGTGTGCATGAGGAGCTCTCGACCCCGACGCCTCGCAAGCTTTTGGCCAGCTCAAGGTTTATTCCTTTAGTGCAGACAGCAAGGGACAGAACGCCCCTCCTGCAAGGCGAACCCTTCTGCGTGTAGCTATCAGCAGGACACCGCCACGCAGCAGCCCAGCACCGCAACACACAGCTCTGTGTCCATCAGCGATGCTCGGGTTCGGCAGGAGCCCAGCGGGGCTTGTGGTCCTGCCGGTGGGGAGACGTTCATGCGATGCAGCCGGGCCGGTCCCATCCAGGACCCATCTTCCCTGCGGCAGGGGGCCAGGCTGCCCGCCTAGGTTACACCCAGCAGCTCTGTCGGGTGTATCTGAAATACAGCCCATCCCGCTGCAAAAAGCCTTCCCACAGTAGTTACCATCTGCAGTGCACATCCTTCCCCAAGTGCTCTCTCCGTGTCCGAGTCCCAGTACCGCCCTGGAGCGGAGCCGTACCTCTCTTTGGGACTGTGCTGCTCTTTGTAGTGCGACTGTTTTGATACTGTGATTTCCTTTCCAGGCCCATGGGAGGTGGCGTGCTCCCGAGTGTTCGGGTACCCTCAAAACCTTAAATACGGGTCACAGGGTTGATCTCACCCAGGATGAGCTACCTGCCACACAAACGTTCTCTCTCCAGAAGAGACGAGGAGGGAGGCCCATCAGCTGGCGCAGCCTTCCCCGCGAGGCGACCTTGATCTCTTGCCGCTTCTCAGCTCAGGCAGAACGAAGCAGTCTTTTGTCCCTGCGTCTCAGAGCTGGCTTGTTTAGTACCTGGGCATCTTCTGGTTGCCCAAACTTCCCCAGTGACTCCAGAGCTACAGCCTGAACTAAAGAGACAACTCCCTTCTGCTTTCTCTGCTACACATCCCGGTCGAGACAGCCGCGAGGATGGGGCTTTGGTCCAGCTGGAGCCTGAAGCTAGATCTCCAGAAGCCAGCTTGTTGCTGGCCTTGCCGGAGAGGAGGTGTCTTGTTCTGGCACCACGGACTTCGGATCGAAAAGAAAAAAAACATACATATATCGAAACAAGCTTAGGGTTTCTTGAGGAGCCCAAGTTCATCACCTCTCCCTGCGAGCCGAGGAGTCAGTCGATGGGGAAGCAGGCGGCTGGCACGGGCGCCCTGCGGAAGGGCAGGCTGGAGCCGCGGAACAGCTGCCCCTGAGGAGGAGAGAGCGGAGGGTCAGGGCAGCCGTGCTGAGACCCGGCCGGGGAATCGCAGCTGGGCTGACAGGGACCGACCCGTGCTCATCGCGGGGCTGCGAGGCCTGAGCACCCCGCAGGAGACATCGGGGTGAGAGCCCGGCGAGTCCTGGGGTTGGGCATCCCCCAGGGATGAGCGACGGAGAAGGGCAGAGCCATCTTGCTTTGCTGCATGCAATGCATTCGCCAAAAGTTTGCAGGCTGCAAGCTCGGGGCATCTAACGGGCAAGACCAGCGCTGCCATGCCTGGTACCAGTGCCAGAACTGGAGGGATGGGAACAGGTTACAGAGCACATCAAGGATGTGGCACAGGCACTTCTTGGGCAGCACTGGAGACGTTGGGAAGAAGCAGAGGGAGCCCAAAATCCATCTGTGCCCTGCTCCCTCACCTGAGCACTGAGGTACCTCCAGCAATGGATCCAGGATGTAAATGCGGGAGCGTAGGGAGGGAGGCCGGCACGCAACCTGCACGGCAATGAGAAAGAGCTGGCACGGTCTGTACAGATGTCACATTATCCAGACAGGTAACACAAGAGCAGCGATAAGTGTAAGCGAGGACACGGAAACAGTGTCCACACCGGGCTGAAGGCCAAATGACCAACTCGTCATTTACAATGCAACAGATCATGTAATTTAATTACCCTGGAGTGTCCAAACAAGGAGCGTTACCTGGATACACCAAGTCCAGTACTATATGCTGTGTCTACACCTTCAAGAGCGAGCACATATGGAGACGTTACACCAGCTGCTTGGATCCAGTCCCATTCCCACCAGCGCAAAGGCAGAAGACTTCTTCCAGCAGTGGGACTGGGAATGCTACCTTGGTCCTGCTCCTGTCTGCACCCACCGCCGCATTAGGAGCTTTGCTTTCCCTTGTGCTGCTCCCTAGAGCCCGCATGGTCCCTTTGATCCCTTCTGCCTCCGGTCTCGTTCAGATCGGACCACACCACCGCAACTCACCCTATTTCTCTCCACTTCAGCTCTTATGCTGCTCTCATCTGTGCCCTCTGATCTAAAATTATAAGCAACCTGGGACAGGAAACAAGCCAACTCTGCGAGGTGCCATATAGTTTACGGTTCTGTATGAAAGCTTTATGATCGTTAGCAAAGAATTCAGACAACAAGGGGCTGGAAGAAAGGAAGGGAAAGCCTTAGATCTCAGTGTGATGGACATACCCACAGTTGTTCACTGCCATGAGATCGCCCACGAGAAGGAACGGGTATGTCAGCATGCTCACGGCGATCTGAAAGCACAGAAAACCGGTAGCCTCTCTTATGTTCATCATGTCAAAAAAGCTAGTCCCAGCTTTTGCACGTTAACAAAGTTATCGTCCTCTTTGGAGACAAAGTACAGAGCAGCCTTTGTCCCCAGATCAAGAGCTCTCACCCCACAGCCGCAGGAAGAGGAGAAATGACACGGCAGTTGCCTACGTACCCCCATCACGAATTTGGTGTAGCTCCGGATCACCGATGCCTGGCTGAACTGCAAAGAGAAACCACAGGGATTGTGGAGGAGGTGGATGACACTTGGGCTGTCACCGTCACTACACAACGCCCCTCTGAGCCTGACGTGATGGGTGTGGGGCAGGGGAAGAAGGCAGAAAGCAACAGTAATCACACAGCATCCCAGCTGAGGATCAGGGAAGGCATTTGCTATCAAATGGGATCCCCTAAACTGCAGCTGAAACAGCCCTGAGCAGACACTGCATCTTTAGTGCTTTTACAGTGTTTTACCCAAAGCCCAGCGTCTGTTTGTATTAAATTAGCCATTAACTCCTTCCAACTGCAGGTGCTTAGTATGGGCCCCCCAAACCCTCCATCAGGCACTTCCACTCACGTTATCGTCCACCGCGTAGGTGTTGATGAAGTGAGCCAAGAGGTTGCAGCACCAGAGGAAGATGACATCCCCCAGGATGTGAGGGACTAAACCGCTGCAACGGCAAAAAGAGGGGCGTGAGGTGCAGAAGGCGCCCAGTCCTCCCTCCCTCCCTCCACCAGCGTAGGAGGAACCCCACTCCCCCAAAACACATCCTTATTTTGGGAGGAATTGAAGGAAAAAGGGAAAATTTGAACATAGGCAGTTCCATCTCCCCCTGAGGAGGGCCTTCGCTGCTGTGAGGGCGGCAGAGCAGTGGCACAGGCTGCCCAGAGAGGTGGGGGAGTCTCCCCCTCTGGAGCCATCCCAAACCCGCCTGGACGCCGTCCTGTGCCACTGCTGGAGGTGCCCCTGCTCTGGTGGGGGGTGGGATGGGGGAACTCCAGAGGGCCCTTCCAGCCCCCACCAGTCTGGGATTTTGGGGAAGAGTTTGCCTGGCCTTCAAACATGGTCCTACGTGTGCTGCCAGCTGCTGCGGCCAGAGGATGCTCTGGAGTAGGAAGTTTGGGATCTGCCATGTGGGCACAACTCAGCCAAGTCCCCTTGTTCTTCCCCAAACCCCTCCTTGGCCCAACTCCTGCTCCGAACCCCAGGCGAGGCACAGATGAAGTGGGTTTGTTAAGCTCGTTGTGCAGATGCTCCTCAGGATGCAGAAGTTGTTCATCTCTCTGTGGAATCTCCATCCTTTTAGAAATCAAAATGAGAGGGGTTGTTCCCACAAAACCTGCTCTACTGCAAAGCAGGATTAACTGGGGGCAGCACTCCAGTCCCCAATTTTCCCAGTCTCTGCTGCCACATGAGAGCACAGGGACACGGGGTAATGTGCTGCTTTAGCGTACGGCTCCCATTGACACGCCAGCTGGAGCTCCCAGCAGCACAAACACCCCCAGCTTCCACAGCTAATGGCACGAAAAAATTTAAAAAAGCATTCCAGAGGGTTTCTCCAGTTTGTCAGAGGCTGCGGGAGCTCTGTTGCACCAGCACGGGCATCGAGCACAGGGCCTCCTGCTTTGGTTGTGCAGTCGTTCCGCTGTGAAAGGATCCAGGTGTGTGTTAAAGCTGCCTGTTTCACCAGCAGGTGTGTTCAGACTGAAAATGAGCCTGTTGAGAGCCACACGAGTGTTTGCCGGGCTGGGAAGAGCCACCTCCAAGCACACCAGTCCGAGTCGTTGGTTTCTTCCCAAACACAAGGCTGCCTCTCCGGAGCAGGGGACCAGTTTTCTTTCCTGCCGTGGTCGCTGCAGCAGCGGAACAGCACCGGACTGCATGCTCCGATCCAGCCTGCTGTGCTTGCTTGGTGTTAGGGTTTACACTTTTTTGGAGACAACCTGTGTATTGTCAAGGCCCCGGCAGCTCTGGAGACGCAGCCGAGGTCTCGGGGGTTATGCACAGCAGAAGTCTTCAATAGAAGATCTGCTGGCTTAAAAGATGTGATACATGAGAGCAATGGACAGCACAAAGAAATCAAAGCCCTCTGGTCCCAAAGAGATGGTCTGCTTTGCATTTATCATTCAGCCTTTGTAAAAAATCCTTTCTCTAACTCAAAGTCAAGTCTGAAGCAGACTCCTGAGCTGCTGCAGATATAACAGGGGCTTAATAAAGACCAGAAACAGAGGGTTGGTTGAGGACTGGGCCATGGCAGCCATGTAAGTAAAACCTCACCCATCTGTCGATAAAGAATCAGATCTTTTGTTCCATTTGCAATAAGGATCCCATCCCTCTCTCTCCTCCATCATCACAGTAATGACGGATGCTGGGCCTGAGTTTGCAAGGTGCCTGGAGACCAGGGGTCTGAGGGTGCTGCAGAAGGGGACTAATAAACCCCAATTCGTTTGTGCTACAGCTCTCACGCCCAGCGAGATGTCCAAGGAGATCTGGACTAGGAGTATTTTCAGAAGATGGCAAGTCATTAAAAAGCTGAAACAGCAGCAGGCAGATGGTGAAGCCCAGATGTATGGTGATGCTACCCAGCAGGAGAAACCCCAGTGCCAGGCAGGGCTGGGACAACCCATCTTCGAGGTGACCGTGCACAGCAGGTTTGGAGCCCCAGAACATCCTTCTGTCCTGCTGGCAGGCAGAAGGGGGCTGCAGATATGAGAGGAAGCAAGATAAGTCCATCCCCTGAAAAGTCTTTATCTCTAGCCAGGCACACATCCAGAGCGAGCGTGTGCTGCTGTTATTGCTGCGTAGAGGTTACGAGGCCATGAGAAATAAGTTCACCGCAATGATTTTAAGGGAGCGGACGTGTTTGGATTGCGTTAGGAGGGCTGCGAGCAGAAAAGCTGCAGTTTGGTCCTACAGGTGCCGTTTGTGTTCCCTTCGCGGCAGTGTGATTTCCTAGCAGGGCTGTAGAGCACGTACAACTTCAGAGCCCTCCCGAGACATTTTGGGTTGTGTTAAAGCCTTTCCTGTGAACTATTAAGTTTAATTAGGCTACCAACAGTGTTTATTTTATGTGGAGGAAGGGAATGCGGCGGCTCCTTTCACGTTATTTCCTCAGGAGGTGGAGGAGAGGGACGACTGCTGGGCAGCACGCTCCAGCCATGCCCCATGCACAGGGAACATCCCAGAGGAACCTGTATTTAACGGAGAAGATTCGGGGCTGCACAGCTCAGCAGAGAAGCTGTGGGCTGCAAAAGGAAGATGCAGTGACACTCGATTGACAGGGTCTCCGCAGATCCCTGGCCCTTTCCCCCCCTTGGGAAAAGGACACAGTGAGACCCCCTGCGACTGCTCGCCTGTTCCTGATGCCTTCATGTTTCATCTGGAGGCCCAAATTTTGTGACTGCAGAGCCAAAGGCATGAGGCTTGAAAGCCCCTCCTGAAATTTCAGAGCTGCCTTTACTGTTATTAAGATAATAAAGCCAGTTATCCCCCCACCGGGAGCGGAGGCAGCAGGTGGTTCTGCTTTTATACAGATGTAGAAAAAAAAAAAAAGCAAGAAGTGTTAATTAAGGGTTCAAGCAAAAAGGTGTCTGCTAGACTTCCACTTCAGTGACGCCATCAATTCACCATGCTTCGTAAGCAGCTGGAAGTGCCTTTCAGCTCTTTCTGGTCCAGGCAGTGACGCCGCTGAGCTGGGAAGCACCACGCTCCCACCGTACGGGCAAACCTGCTGCCAGCACGAACCACCTGCTCATTACAAGCCCCCACGGTGCTCTTCAGGGGAATGTGCTTCTTATCCAGGCCCCGGCTTTTACTTCAACAAGGGGTCTCATTGTTGCACTTGATCTTGGTGCCTGTTGCACAAACAAATGCTTTAAATGGCCCTTCACTGAAACACAAAGAAGCACCAGAGGGAAAAGAGAGGTAAGAAAAAATACAGAGTTTTCTTTGGGCTCTGAAGGTTTGATTGAAGATAAGATCTGGGGCAAACTTAATGGTCAAACTGGAGCACTGTCAAAGGCACAGATTTAATCTGTGCTCACGGGAGTGATGTGAGAGTCCCGTGCGGTCAGACAAGGTTTCAGATGGGGGGAGCTCAGCACCACTCTGAGGTTGGCAGAGCAGCCAGGAGAGCCACCGGCGCCTTTGGACGATGGTAGAAAGTATTTAAACAACTCACGTACACAAAGAATCCCAGGATCCCTTCTTCCTTAAATATCCTGCCGATGGCGCTGAACACACCGCTGCCAAAAAAGGAAAAGAGCTATAAGTGTGCAGGGGCTGCTCTGTCTCTGTCCCGCACAGCTTCGCATGCACTCTGCAGCCACCAGCCATAGCAGCGTCCCCCCGAAGCCACCGTGCCAGCAATGCAGCAGGCAGCTCTGTTCTGCTCCTTCTCCTCAACCCCTCAAGGAGGGTCATGTTCTGCATTCTGCCAGTCTGCAATAACACCTGGGACAACGCTCGACTTGCTGACAACTGTTTAAATGCTGAAGCTAGAAGAGCTCTGCTTGGCTTTGCACGGGTGGATACACGTGCTGCAACTATGGCACATCACATGCTTTGACCAGGCTGATTCTCAACCCAAGAACCCTGTCCTGCTGCTGGGAGCTCGCGCTGGCAGTCGTGGGCTAGCTGCAATTGTGTCTAGTATGCTTTCAGGTGGCTTCACCTGTAAGTTTGTCCTGCAGAGAGGCAGGTATTACTGAAAAAGGCTTGGAAAGATCTTGCAGACTAGCAGGGCTGCACCAACACTTTGTATGACCCGCTCTGCCTCCCTGCTGACTTCCCTTTCTGTTAACACCTAAAGCAAAAAGGCGGGAGGCTCGCTGTGCGGTCAGCAAGGCGCGTTACAGCCACCAAAATCCCCACAGGCAGAAGGCAGAACAGAGGCACACCAGGGACTGAGCCCACCCTCCCCACATCCTTTCACCCCCAACTCATCCACCCTCTAACCACGGCTCAGATTCACTTTTCTGTCTCCTAGACCTCCTCGGTTGCCAAACTCCCACTGCCTGGGAGCATCTGGCACCACTGACTCCTGGACTCACGCTTCTGTGTGCTCAAACTCTCCAGAGCTGCAGCCGCTCACCTGTATTTGACTTCCCGACCTACAAACTGGACCATGCAGCGCATAGAGATCACTAGGAGGAAAGAAACACAGGAATGATAAAACAACAAATCCAGTTGGGGTTGCAATGGACGTGAAGGAAAACACAGCCTGACCTTTCTGCCCTCCCTTCCCTCGCCTCGCATCACCTCCAGCTCCTCTCGGTTGTCCTAATCATTGCCAGACTCATTAGAAACTGCAGCTCTCCCCTAGTCTGGAAGTAGCAGGAAGAATTTCTGTCCCTAACCCCAGTGGGATCGCTTGGACAAGCTCTTGGATGAATAGGGAGAGAGCACCTTGCTGCTCAGCTGGGTCAGTCCCTGAAGGCCAAGCCAAGCGTCAGCCTTCCCAAACAACTGCTGGAGACCTGCGTCCCTTCTGCGGTTTCATACGAAGCCATTTCTCATAGAGAAGTATGTCAAGGAAATGGGGTTTTGGGGTGATCCCCAGCCAGGGCAGGGCTCCGCAGTCTGGAGAGGGCTGCCAGGCAGAGGGACAGGACTCACCGTGCAGCGGATGCGAGACAACCCGGGACATGCACTGCATCATCATCTCGTGAGATGTCTGGGAAGGGGAGAAAAAAAACACACCTGTAGGAAAACCTGCACTGCTCTACCTGCACAGATCAGGCCCTTTCCTTAGTGTAGTGACACCCACTTCAGGTCCCTCTTTTGAAATATGTTGCTCATGGTAAACCTCTGTTCCTATGAAATATTTAATAGCTGGATACAGAGTGACTTCTAAATACTACAGCCTTTTCACCCAGAATTTCCCTCCAAGTGATTTCACCCTCAGCCCACAGTTTAAGCTTCCTTTGCTCTCCAGGCACATCCCCAATGCGATCCTCCTGTTAACACGCAATATCCACTTCTCACCTCTTTCACCACTTTCCTAAGGGAGGTCTTCACATCATCCTTGTTAGAAACGTGCTCCATGTCTTCCAGCGGAAAGGCCTGAGTGGGGAGAAAAGAAACAATATGGTTAAAACTGATGGAGACGCTGACCCACAAACCCTCGATGTCTGAGGACAGGAGGAAACCACAAGCAGTTGTGCTCTACGTGGGAGAAGAAAAACAGGCAAGAAGGAACACAGGAGAAGGAAGGAGGGAGAGCAAAACAGGGGAAGAGAGGGGTCATGAAACTGCTTACAAAAGGCAAGAGGTTGTTCAAATAAATATTGTCTAGAAAATAAGTTTTGCGGATACGGGTACCGTTGTCCTCCTGTCCTGGAGGACTATTCAAAGCGCTTAGGAGATGGAGAGGGACGGGCGCTATATTCCTCCATGCGCAGTCGTGGCTGGGTGCAGGCACATGCAGGCTCCCTGGCTCGGCTGCAATAGCACAGGCCGACCCTGCAAGCTGATTTATGGAGGGAGAAGCCGACCTTTACCTTCTTCACGCTCCCCCTGGTGATGGTTGATAAAGTGCTTGAGATGAGGCGAGGAGTAAGACCGCGGAAGAGGCCTCTTTTCCCATCCACTTCCACGATGTGTCTGGCTGGGTAAGAAAACACCAGGCTGCCGTCAGTCGGGAACTGGCTGACTCGCGGATAGCACCCCAAACACCTCCGGCATGTAGCCAAAACCGCACCAGAGCTCAGCACAGCACGGCAGCCGCTCTGCGGTCCCACCGTAAGTGATTTATTATAACAGTCCGAAATAAATTTCATATAGGATGCAAAGAATTCTTAAGTATTCTGTCCTATCTGTCTAAACTGGAAGGATAGCTCCAGTATTTTGGGCTACTTGATTGTTTTGCTCACCCGAAAGGGCTATAAAGCAGTTTGGACTGAACCAGGGTAGGGAGGGATGACCGTGTATTGTGCGGTGTCACCTCCTCCCTCTGCCCTGAGGGGTCGGACTCAGGGTTAATATGGATCTCGCAAACCCAGGTTCAGTTCCTGCCCACCACCTTCTCCCAGGAAAGTTTCTTCAGGTCTCCAGCCAAAAAAATAAGCAAATAGATGCAACTTCTCCCTGATGCAACAAGGTGGAACACGACCCACCACGTGTTTGTGGGTACCAACTGCTCCTGCCCCCACCCTCTGCTGTCCCAAGCGAAGCCAGGAAGGCTCTGCGCATCTCCATCACCCAAAGCTGTAAATCTGCTTGGAAAATGCATCTTCCAAAGGGCAGCGTCGGAGCATTTCCAGTCCCGGGTGTCCCAGGACAGGTTTGCAGTGCTTACGTACCGCTCCTGTGCTGGATCTCCCCCACCCCATGGTATCCATGCTGTCTGATTTTGGGATTGGCCCAACTCATCTCTCAGGGCTCTGTGGCCCCCTTCCTCCCAGCAATCCCGCTGCGAAAGCAACCCCAAAGGTTACAGAGTATTCGCCTCCCTCTCCTGCACTGCTCCACTCACAAAGAAAGAAAAACAGTACTTTATTTTCCTTCTTAACATATTACCATCCCTTTTCTTGGTATTTCTGTCCCTTTAGGGCTCCATCTACAATACAAACGAGCAGGGCAGGGGACCAAGTTATTGCAGGGCTGTTTTGTAGCGAAGAAAAGCGCTTCGCTGTCTCTTAACACATGCAAAACTCTCCACCGACAAACCTATGCCACCTAAACCCCCACCAGCCCCTTCGCTACGGTGCAAACCCACAGCAACCTGCCATGGGAAGGGGACGCAGCACCAACACCGGGGCCGCCACCTCCTTGTCCCCAACAACGGGTGGGTAAATATGACGGCTTTGCAACTGGTTGTAGTGGTTTATGTCTCGTTGCAGCTTTGGGATGATCCCAAGGGGAGGCAGGAGGTCGGCTCGGTTGATCGGTAGCTCCCAGCCCCATTTTTGGGCAGGACCTCACGCTGGCAGAGAGGGACGTTCACTCACCGTAGGTGAAGAAGCCGGGCAGGTACAGGACTTTCCTTCCCAGCACGTTTCTTCCAACAGTTGGAGGTAGTGGCTCATGCCCGACCTGCAAGAGAAACCCGATGAGCAGGTCCCTTTCCCGGCATTCCCAAAGCCCCCCGGCCACAGGGTCTTGATCCCAGTGTCCATGAGCTACCGAAGGGCCACATCCCCTCTCCATCACCATCAGATACATGGGGGTGCCATGACATGGGCAGTCCCTTCCCCATCTTATAGGGTCGCCAGGGTACAGGGGGTCCTCAACCCTCCCATTTCATGGGGGTCCCTATTAGAGGGGTTCTCGGGATACCCATTATATAGGGGTTTCCTGTCCCTCCTTATATAGGAGCCCCCACTGCAGAGCGTATCCTTATCCCCCCCATCTTATAGGGGTCCCCACTGTACAGGGTGTCGCCATACCCTGCCGTATGAGGGGGTCCTGATGCCCCCACTATAAAGGAGTCCCCACTGTACAGAACTCCTCAACCCTACATTATATAGGGATTCCTATACCCTGTTATATAGGGGTCCCTGTTGGCGTGGGTATCCTCATTCTCCTACAATGTTTCCCCGTTTTACAGGTGCCCTTATGCTCCCAACTCTATAGGGACCTCCATTACATAGGGTGACCTCATCCCCTGTTATATACGGGGGTTCCCGTTGGATGGGGGTCCTCACTGCCTCCTAATATAGGGGTGTCCCCCCCCTTATATAGGTGCCCCCGTTGTGTCCCCTGTTATAAAGGGGGTGGGGCTGTATATATAGTGGTCCCCAGCATGGAGGTCTCCATAGCAGCACCTCTCCCGTTACACTGTGGTCCCGATCCCCCATTACACGTGGGGTTCCCGTCCCCCCGGTGCCCCCCACC